TTTATATTTTTGAAAACATTGGAGTTCCTGTGGATTACGTAATGTGCGCAGTAAAAGTGCGCGCTGACAACTGTACCCACCATCCTTAAGCGCGTTTTTGTGAGAAAATAAATGTTTGTGTTCTCCGAGTATAAAGTGAGTTTCCGGGTAAATATAAGTGAATGAATAGTGCCTATTTTTTGCTCTGTCGACCGATGACCTGAATGGCACTGAAAAATGTTGTTGAACTTTTGAATGATAATTTTGAAGGGGCTTTATTAGGGAGGAATTAGAATTTAATTCATTTTTTTACAGCTGTCATTCAATTCTTGATGTTTTTAGACCGGACACCCACTCTGAATGTGCCTGAAACCACACAAAGTAACAACTAACAGCGTTTTTTCCCCATAATCACGCTAACATTGATGTTTTCCCCCCAGCAAAGTACGCATGAAGTATGAATGTGTAAAAGCCACAAGCGATGCATTCCACCATGAATCTCTTATAAGAAAAAGCTACTTCAAAATGTGGAAGGTTATTTACAACGAACCTGGAAGTTTTCCTCTGACTTCAAAGGTATTTTAGCTCGTTGCCACTTTATCCCGTGATGGCCTTTCATCAACCACAAGAGATCCTCACTCGAACTAGTTTTTCTATAAACCTCGAGACGGGATGAAGTGTTGGAAGGAAGAAGATAAGAGAACTCAGCACACATGCTTATATCTTTATAATTAGAGGTCCAAGGCATAGACGGGGATTCCAGAGACGATATTCCAGGAGTAGTTAGAGTTATAAAATCACCTAGAACAATCAAGAAGATATTCAAGTATAATAGACGCGTTTTCCCGCTAAAGTCACATTTTCCCCCTTTTTTCGTTGGTCGGTTCAGTAAATTGAATACATTGAATGTTTGTTCTTCGTATAATTGATCTAAGTTTGTTTGGTTCCTCTTTTACTATGTTTGCTTGTTGTTGTTGTTGTTGTTGTTTGTTGTTGTGGTGGTGGTGGTCGTTGTTGTTGTCCTTTTTTTTTTCGTTTTATCAAAGATTCTGGCAATAATCTTATTGCAATAAATTATATTTGTTAGCGGTTCTTTTTAAACAAAATAATAATAATAATAATGATAATAACAAATAAATAAAGAACTCTTGCCTCCATAGATAATTTTGTCTTCAATTTTTCCTGGCTTTTCTAAACTCCACTGGCATGAAGTGTCTTGTGACGTAACGATCCATCCGGAACATCTTCCATTGCGAAAAGAGCACTGAAGTCTTGTAGAATCTAAAAAAGGCAAAGTAAATAAATAATTATATATTAATAAATTAAATAATCAATTTTAAGATTCAGTTTTAATTAGTCTATTATTATTATTATTATCATTATTATTATTATTATTATTATTATTATTTTATTAATTTCTTACCAGAAACTTGTATGGACTCTGCGATAGTTCTCTTTCTCTCCCAAAAATGTGTGTCGTCAGCAAAAAAATCATAGATGATCTTATTAATATGCAAAATATCAATATTATGAAATTGTATTTTAGTAAAAACTTACACTTAATTAGCTGTCGACGTTTAAATAATTCAACAAAACACATTCTTACATAAATACTGTAGTTGCCTGGTTGAACGACCGCCTCGATTTTGTGTCTCATTTTGTGTTCTTCACAGGTCATTTCTAGGCTCCTGTTCAACATTATGGTCTGCTTAAACGCTTCTAGCTTTAATACCAGGGGGCAGGAAGGACAGAGGATGCCTTTGCAGCAGAATTTGTAGACAGCTGTGGAGTGGAGAAATATTATTAAACATTTCGTAATGACAAGCAATCACTGTAAGAACTAGAATATAGGACCCTCTTGACAAAATGAGTGATGTTATAATAATCTATTAGTACGGTAAACTTTCTTCAACATATTCCCATTGATATATTCTCTTATACTATTATTTTTTGGATCCATTTGGTTTTGCAATGCATGTTGGGGCTGTTTTAGGGGACGAAATAGCCAACATTATAAAAATATATCCCCTAAAAAGCCCCACCATGCACTGCAAAGCCAAATGGATCCAGTTTTTCCCTCAAACGTGATGTAGGGATATATTGGTAAAAARCTAAATATGGACATAACTGAAAAAAAGGGAAAGAAAGTGGGAAAGTAATGAATCTCGACCCAGTTTTCTCCATCATCCTCGGAATTACTAATAATTGGCAACTTTAATTACCTTCTAAGGTGATTTCTGAACCAAGCGCAATCTTTCTACTGATGTTGTTGGTTAAGTGAAACTCCAGAACTCTAGAACCTGTTGTTCAATTGACATGGTAATTTGCTAGATAATTAATAATGAATATTAATTATAGATCAGAATGGAAAAACCTTACAAATGTTATGCTTTGCCAGGAGCCAATAACACGGAGCGCACAGCTCATGTATCTTCCTATAGATATTTAGAACGGCTTTTCAATCCTCGAGAAACAAAGGACGAAGCTAAAGCAGCCAAGTTGGAGACATAAACATGAAGAATTAATGAGGAATGCTCTTTGTTATTTGGCCTTCACGGCATATGAACCTAAAAATAACCAGTGCTAGAGAATGATAATTAAGCAATAGAAAACTTTTTCCGTGTTTACATAGCCTGATAGCAACACGAGGGGAGGTTGGGAGAATTCGAGACAGTTATACAAACCCGAGACGTAGTCGAGAATTCTCCCAACCCCCCGAGTGTTGCTATCAGGCTATGTAAACACAGAGAAAAAAGTTTTCTAGTGTTTTTATAAAATAAATACTAAGGGAAAACATTACCACTTGCAAGAAAATAAATCTTTATTTGAATTTGATTCTCATATCAAAATACAAATTCTCCATACATCACGAACTTCGATCGTTAGCCAATCAAATTTTGTGTAATAAACGCCAAGGAGGCAAATGTGAAGCAAGAAAAAATCGCTAGCTATTTTAAACATTTATCATTCTAAAACTTTAAAACAAATACAAAGAAATGTCCAAAGATTGAATAGAAATCTTAATAAAAGATTTCAGAATCGATTATCTTTACGAAAGTGATCAAAAGTAGATTAACAAGTGTCACTGTGAATGGAATTCTCGGTTGAAAGAAACGTGGTTTTTCTCAATTTGACAGCGAGAAAACATAGCAGCGAAGTTGATTGTTTCGTCTTGCCTCGAGGAGATATTTTGTGGAGCTGAAGAGCTATCGCTGGAAAAAGTTTGAAGCTGCTGACTGTTTCCTTGAAATACTTGTATTCTTTATCGGGCGGTGCATTTAAATCATGAGAAAGCACGTCGCTGAACAACCGCAGCAGTTTTGACGGAGGACGTGTGTTGTAGCTCCTGAGGGAATTCTCTTTGCGGTGACCAACGAGAGATTGTCATGATATTACGATCAGAAAGACCTGCATGAGACCATAGGGTTATATGCCTGTGGCCCTGACCCAAGTCAAAATTTGGAACTTCGTCTTCGAAATACTTTTTTGGGGGCGTTTTTTTCCTCGAAAGAAACTGTAAATTTTTAATTTTTGAACTTGTACCRGGAAAACACGAAAGTTGTGACGTCACAACTGTGTTTACATACCCTCATGCAAACATGGCTATCAACCAATCACAGCGTGCGTACTATTTAATTTATTTTATAAATCGAGATATAGGTACTAGACAGTGTACGGTCCAGGTAATGGGCACCTGAAAGAGCTTCATAAAAAAACAGCACTTACCTGGTCTCATCCAGTACAGGTACTCCTGGGAGAAAAGCTGGATATTGTTTTGGCCGGGTAACCTTGTGACTACAGTGAGATAATCCTGGTTGACCCTCTGTCGCATGTAAACTTCCATGTGATATAAATGACATTTGCTGAAGTTACGATATTTGTATTGGCTTTTGCTCCTGAAAAAGTAACTAAAAATTAAAACCAAACAAATTAAATTGATAAACGAGAAAAAGAATGCTCAACGTTTCCTTACAATTTGTATCTGATGGGATACGTAGGTAATTCGATTTTAATCAACAACTCCTCATCGTATCTCTCATCATCCAGTCCTGGTTCTTCGGCTTTTCTTAGCCATATTTCACATTCATCGCCACATGAAGCTGAGATGAAGTAAAGTCCTGAGGTATTGACCTGAAAAATTAATTAAGATAGTTTTGTTCAATGGCCAAAAGATTCTTGCAGATGTTCTAAGCAATGAAGCCTGATGAATCAACCAAACCTCAAGGGATAATTTACTCCAGTTTTTTTTAAAAGAAACCTTACCATAATATAACCTTTTCCTCGTAGACTGTAGTTTAAGATACCCGAAAATCCAGGAATAGCAAAGGTTGGCAAAACACTGGAAATATTGGGACTATCACGAAACACCTCATCTTTCTTCAAAATTAGCGTTTTTTTAGACAATATATACTTGTTCCATAATTCAAACGAAACTCCTCGTATGTTAGTGAAGTTATCTGCGAGACATACAAWAAGAGATTCGTATCAAAAGACTAACTATGGTAAAAGGACGGGTGGACGGGTCAAGTGGGAATTTAGAGGTGTCTTACCGAAAGCCGATACATCTGGTTCACTGCACAACTCCAAAATTACACTTTTATCTGATGAACGAACTTTGATCGAGTTCGTTTTGAATTCAACGCCACACGTCGCTATTTGCTCATTTATTGTATCCATGGTAACATAACACTCGATGCTGCGCCCAGACTTTGAATCGTACACGATTACAATGGGATCTATGTAACGTTGACTGTCGTTGTTGGCATGGCAGCTACGATTTAATGTCACAGTATAAATGTAGACGCTTCTTTTTAAATGTTGTTGTATCCAGGGACTTGATTCCTAAAAATAAAGAGCACATCACATCACCGTTGAACTAGTTTAAGTTTTCGTAAAAATATAACAACACTATTAATCAAAAGTTAAAGAAATCTAATCTCGATATACCACCTTAGCGTTTATCGACGTTAACTTTCTATCTGCGTGGTTATGTACTCGGGAATCATTACGGGGGTGATTTTTTGAGATTCGCGGATTTGGTTGCAGAGAATATGCAATCGTTAGAAAGAGATTCGTCTGATTTTCAAACTGCAAATTATTAACAAAGTGTTTTCTCAGAATCGGCGCATATTCATTCTTCATGATTATTGAAAAAAGACTACTAAGCTAGAGAAAGTAATCTCACCTTAGTGGTTGTTAGATTCATACGTGCAGGTGAGACGATTGTGTGGAGATTAGTCTGATTTTCAACCTGCAAATCATTAACAAAGTGTTTTCTCAGAGTAGCCAAGTATATTGTTCATTATGAAATGACTATAAGAAAAGATAGATAAAGTAATCTCACCTTAGTTGTCGTTAAATTCAAAGGTGGAGTTGAGACGGTTGTGTGGAGGTTAGTCTGATTTTCGACCTGCAAATCATTAACAAAGTATTTTCTCAGAATCGGCGCATATTTATTCTTCATGATCATTGAAAAAAGACTACTAAGCTAGAAAAAGTAATCTCACCTTAGTTGTTGTTAGATTCCAATGTTTTGGTGAGATGGTTTTGTGGAGACTCGTCTGATTATGGACCTACAAATCATGTTCATTAAAATTTATTTTTCTCTTTTGTCACGTATAATGATAATAATTTATGATTTATATAGTTCCATTCTATGACTATGCATGATAATGAAAAGTAGTTCTACCGTCAAGGTCTGTTAATAGATCTGTTGTTGTATAATCCTGTATAGTCAATTTCTTACTAATCAAAAGGGGAGGCCTTCTAATATTTTCAGCTGAGTGTTTTTGAAGACCTTGACGGGTGAATATGTTATTCAAACGGTTTAGACATCCAATTTCATATGTCGAAATTATTAATTGCAAATGTCAAGACCTATTGTTTGAGATGAGTTTCCACGTCTAAACTGGGTCTAAGAAGCTGATCTAGTTGAGCAACATTATCGTTAAAATATTTTCTACAATGGTCCATGTTTTTTACGCCCGGTCCATGTTTTCTTGGGTCCAGTTCAGTCCAGGTTTTAGATCATAACTACTGTACTGAAGGTAATTTTGATAAACGTATTAAAGAAAGTAATCGCTAACGAAGCGTTGCCGGCGCTGCTTGGCACGGATAGTGCAGTGGTAAATGCTCAGAGCGTACAGCTGACTAATCCAGAAAGACCGTTGTTTGGAAAGGACGTTTACTTTTAAGTTAAGTGAGCCCTAATTAGGCCCGGGTCGCACTTGAACCAATTCTGAAAAACGTTTGTTTAGAAAAGTCAAGAAACTAGATAAATTCTGTCAACGTTGAACAACGCCAAGTGCGACCGACTTTTTTCAACCTGTTCAAAACTTGTAATTCGGTACAAATCTTCAAAGGCGCCAAAGTGCTGCTTTCAACCAAGAATTTCCACGTACAACAAACAAAACCTTGTTTTTCTTTGGAAAAAATGTCAATCTTAATTATACTGGTAAATATATTTTTGACGGAGCGCCTGCGGTTCACATGACCTCAAGTGAAGCTGTGCAAGCCAAATCTAACCTTTGAAACATGAATTCGAACAACAATTTCTTAAGATTATTACATTTGGGACGGACTCAATATGATCAATATGAAACAGATAAAATAGCGCAGTGCCACAACAACCATTTGTGCCGTCCATTCCGCCTCAAATGGCAGTACCACAACAATCACTAGTAATTCTTCAAGTGATTCACGTATGCCTCACCCTTTCCCCAACCTTCTCCTGAAGACTCGGAAACATTCAATATCCAACGATAACGTCATGTTTACACGCGTAGGGATTGATTAATCGCAGCGCGACCTCAGTACTTGTATTCGATTGTTGCGAACATGTTACAGGTAACAAATTGTTCTACAATTAGAAGCAAACATATATCAGTGAACTCTTTTTAGTATCTACGAATAAGTGAAACAAACGTTATGTTATACTGATCAGTCCTCGAGCAACTCAATCTGGAACTCCAATTCCAATTAGGCTGCCGCGACGGGCAAGGTTTCACGGACATGCACAATCGCGCGGGAAATTTAATAACTCGTTTTAAAATCGAAATGATTCATATAAAACGTAAATACACGCTAATATTTGATCAAGACCTCTCTCAGAATTGCTTTACATTTTATGATTTTATAATTTATCAACATTTTTTAATGAATCGCCATTTCTTTAAAAGAAAACAAGACGCTGGTGACAGGGTACACTGGGATACCTGCAGAACCTGCTTTCAACATGCATGGAGTATTTAACTGGCTGAGCTTCCAAAAATTCTAATAAAGTAGCATTTAATCCTATCTACGCTTTGCAAAAAAAATGAACAGATCCGCCATTTTGTTTCATAATCTTTATTTTAATCTTAATTTAGCGATTTAAACCACCTCGCGAGTTGATTTAAATTTAACCCACTCTTTAACCCTAGGTTAGTGCTAATCGTGCTTTGCAATCTAATCCTAGATTAAAATTTAAACCTCGATTAGACGATTTAATCCAGGTTTAGCGCTAATCGGGTTTTTGAACAACCGGGCCAAGTTTGTGTTAGAAATCCCAAGGAGTTTATGCTTAGAAGTTACGCTCGCTAAAAATGAAATTTTGACCGCCTTAAGGAATATATTTACATTAGTAGCAAATTAAATTTCGAACGACAGTGTTGAAAGCCGTTTGTAGGCAGA